TCTAGTTCTGATTATTGTATCACAAAATATCAAATTTATAAAAATATCCTTATTTGTTAAATACTCCCATTTTAAGCCTGCTGATCTTAGACATTTATATTAATTTTTTTTTAAAAAAAAACGGTGAATTGTTTTCCAGGCAAATTTGCCTGGAAATTTTAGTGATACAAGATTTTCTGATTTTAGAAAATCATGCATTAGAAGGGTATTTGCTTAGTACGATCTGGTGATATAACAGAATTAATCAAATAATAGAAAAATTCCAGGCAAATTTGCCTGGAAAACAGTTTAAGGGATAATAGTTTATTTTTTTTAACTATTTGGTAACATTCAATAAATTATATACTCTTTTTTGTAATTAATAATTTTTTACACCCTTTATTTCAGACAGATCGATATTTTTTTTTGAATTTTTGTTGACTGTGATAAAATTTAATAAAATAGATAAGACACTAACTTGCCTAATGATATAGATTCAAGTTTTTATATTCTTCTTAAATATTCAATAATAGCAAGAAGTTGGCTATTATCTTAGCATTACTAATAATAAAAAAATTTTTCAATAAATATTATATACCTATTAGGTCTTCGTTACTACATAGTTATTAAATAATTTCTGAATTATTATTAATTATTAATTTCAAAAAATTAAACCAAACATTGCTTATTTTCATATTTGGCTCAACTTATAACTCAAAAGCAACAAAAGTATTCGATGAAGTGACATAGGTAGATGTGATATATTCTATAGTTTTATTTATCTAAGTCTTAATTTTATAGTTTCTTGCTTGTAATTAATAAAATAAAACTTATAATATTAAAATACATACTTATAAAAATAAAAATAAAAATTTCAAAGATATTTTTTGGACTATCATCTAAATCATTATCCAAATCCAACCTGGTACATATTTTCTAGATGCTACAGATTTAAATAGTTATGTTATTATCTAATTTGTATTCAAAAGTTTAGAATAGTTACACAATAAACTTTATCAGGAAATTTTTAAATTGGTTTGCAATTGATTGACAGAAAGAAATGTCAATCAATAAGCAGCACCTCTGTCAATTACCAGTAATTCTGATTAGAATCAATTGACAACAAAACTGCTAATTAAAATTAATTAGAATTGCTTTAATTAAAATCAATTAATATTAAAACTAAATTAAAATCAATTATTTTTTAATTGATTGTGTATCAATTAACTACCAATATCGATTATTATCAATTTTTCTAATTGATAGTAATTGTCTCTGCAGCCATTAAATGATATCTACCCTATTTAAAAATTTTCTGATATTAGTAAAATAATAATAATAATAATAGAAATATAATAAAAAATATATTATAAATATAATAAAAAAAATATAACGAGAGTGTGGTGGCTTAGTGAAGTGGTCTAGTTGTTAGTAGCAGGTCCAAAGTTTGAATCCCACAGATAACATTTTTGAAAAATAAGCCTGTGATACAGTGATAGACATGATTGATTAGTTGGGTTTCAGAATCTGTAATCTTGGTAATACCATGTTTATAAGAAAGCTTCAGTATATAAAAGGCCAAGAAACTGTGATGATCGAAACCTATTTGGGAAGTCCTGAGTGAGGAGATAACAGAAACTTTTGATAGTGCTACAAGAAGACCAAACTTGAAACTAGAGACTGAGACTGGAGAACCAAGTGACCAGGTCCTTAAGTAAGGGGACACACCAGTTGAACTCCAGGTCGCCAAATCAGAAGAAAAGGACATATGCTCTAAAAGCATATACCAAGAGGAGGATACTCTAAGGGCACCTAATACCTGGAAAGACCAACACTTCTGGGTTGCTAGCTGGAAGTACAATAAAATAATATAGTATACTTACAAATAAAAACAAACAAAATTATATTAAAAAGTGGCATATCTTTAAAGGGTAGAAGCGCAGGTATAAGGTTTGTGACGAATGTAATCATCATTCACACCTATATTGTAAAATGTGTAAAAGTAGCGGATAGAATAAAATATATAGGTGGTGTGAATGTAAAAATTTTTTAAAGAAAGAAGCAATATATATGTAGTTTCTAGCTCATCTATTATATCTTCAAGTAACTAATAATGTAGAATTTGTGTAATCTTACTGAGACATCAAATATCATACCTCCCAAGAAATAATAGATTTAATTTTTTGTTTTTCTATATGCTTGGTAACAAATTTGAATAAAAATTCTGTATGCAGGGACTATAACTCGATTTTGTAATTATTAAAATTTCGATTTAATTTATTTCTTTATGCTACTTACGTACAGAAAAAAATACAATATTGTATTGTTATTTTATCATATAACAATATATAACCTGTTGTATGACAATCTAATTGTTTGTATAAACTATAAAAAGGTAGAATATATAATATTTTTTACTAAAAATTTTTCTTACTCTGAATGTGCATTTCTTGTACAACTATTTTTACTCAAGTCATGTTTGATAATATTTCTCTTCTATTAGTTGAAGAGATTCAAAAATAGTCACGAACTGGCATTATTACTTTCTTACAAGAAAATGCAGATGAAGATAAGTTAGACCATGATGATGAAGACATTGCTAAAATTAGAAAAAATAAGGTCAAAGGCATAGCCTTTCTTGAGTTAATATTGGAAAAGCTTCTAGCCTTCCCTTATGAGCTCCCTGTGGACCGGCAGAAGTTATAGCAAAATTAATCAATACAATTAAGGGTGAAGGGCAGGGTAAGTAGTACCATGACTATATTTAAATATTTCATTAACTTTGCCTCATATATTTGTTCTTATTAAATAGCTATAGCATCAAATCAGAAGGTGCAAGAATTGAAGAAAAAACTAGCAATACTACAAAAGAGTAAAAAAGATAAATAGTATAAATATCTCTGACTCTAATACTATTTTTTCACTTTATTAATTGAGAACTTTGATATATCATTTATGTTGACTACTATACTGGTTTTATTTTTAGTTACTTTATACTTCCAATATCATAACTCAAGAGATGTATGTTTTAGCACCGATGGTTAGAAAGATCTAACTCAGTTGCATAGCCATTGGAAAGAAGCAGTCGATCATCTCAAAGGCACTCTGGACCTTTATAAATATGTTATTGATAATAGAGAAATAAATATTGGTTTATCAAAAGAGGAATTTATTACTTTTATTGAAATGCACAGGTATTCGGACAACAATCCAATCAAAATTATTGACTTAAGGAAAGATATGATATTTCAAATATTGACTGATTGCAAATATTCTGAGCTAATGCAATTTTGCATACAGGTGTCAAAAGGTCATACTTTGAATGGTGAAAGATTTATCAACAGCATCAGAATTTGGAAAGCTTGTGGAGTTTTGTAAGCGACAACAGACAACTAAAGTTTTTTGCCATAATAGTCATCTACCAAGTGCTTATAGCTTTATACCTGTTACTCTATATTGTTTAATTTTTGGCTAATTTAAAGATTTCTGTAAGGAAAATCTAGAAAAAGTAGACAATTATTTCACCTATGAATTTTGTTGTGCAATGGCAAAATTTTATGATAACTAGGATGCTTATCAAAAAGTTGCAAATAAAATGTTATCTAAATATTTTGGTCACTCTATGCAACCAATTGAACTCCTTGCAAATATAAAAACTAGTGGTAAACCCAGTACTGATGGCACTATAAACGTTTCTGGTCCTTATACATATTGTGAGCTTAATGTAGAATACAAGTGTCTTAAAAACTGTGGATATTATTTAACTTTCTGTATGGAATATGAGACCACTATTATGTGACTAATTTTCTGTGCTTTTTAGTTGTAATTGCAGGTATGGTATAGATTTAGGTTTGGTATATTTTTGTCAGAATTTATAAATAAATTTGATTGCATTTTAGGGCTTTATTTTTCTATTTCCGGTGCTGTACTTTCAGATAAAGCTATAATTAATCCACTTATCCCATTATATTCTCTTGCTTGGCAAAAAGATGATGAAATAAAATTATCAATTTCTAAAACATTTCATGCTCTAAAGAAATCTCTTCAACTTCTCGATCAATACTATGCAGAAGTTAATAATAAACTAGTTCAAAAAATCTTCCAAACCTTCAACCCTAAGCATCCTTTATTTCCTGAAGTAATTATAGATGACAAATGTTATAAAGTTTAAACTGAAGAGAATATTGTCAATTGCTTTTGGAGTGTTACACTCTTGAATGAGCAAGGAATATGTGAGAAAGTCTATGTAAAAGCTATTCAAAAACATAAATATTCACTTGATACATATTAGCTCTTAGCAAAAATTGGATATGCCCCGAAAATTCTAGCTACTTCATTTATTCCTGAAAATTAGCTTTTGATTTATAAGAAATATTTAGAAAATTATTTAATGCTAAGTCATGTTACTAATAACTTTAACGACCAAAATAATTTAAAAGAGAAAATTGAAAAGGTAGTTAAATATATGCATGAATCAGAATATGTACATGGAGACTTGCGTGAAGAGAATATTCTATTTTGTTATCTTGAAAATAATGAATTTGATATGAAATTAATCAATTTTGAATGGTCTGGAAACATTGGTTTTACACGTTATTCTCACTTTATGAATTATAAAATACAATAGCCAGATAAAGCAAAAGATGGGAAATTAGTAACAAAAACTCACGATCTTGCTATGTTGAATTAGACACTTTGGAGAACTGGCTTATTGCAAGATTAAATGAATATTGAAATTGAGTAAGAGTAGATTTATTAAGTTTAGCATAGAAGAATATAACCTAATATTTGTTAATCTATTAATAAAAAAAATACATTTTTGTATTATTGCTATATTGGAATTTGATTTGGCAATTATTAATAAAGCTGGCCCTGGTAGCTGATTTCTTTGCATACATAATCAGTTTACTTTTGCATGTATATTTCAGAATTTTATTACATTAGATATATACATATAATCAAGAATTTTCTTGGCAAAAAAAACCAAGACAAATTTGTCATATTTAGCTAGTATAACTGAATTTTTTACTTAATTATTTCTATATATAATATAATAACAAGCTTTTGAATATTTTTGTTCTTGTATATAATTTATCGAACATGTCAAATGCCAATCCAATGATTCATTA